TGTTAATGGGTTACCTGTGGAGTGAAATTATGGGATAGAAGCACATGGTCGAGAGCGGAGAGAAGGGAGGTTGGCGGGCAAATGGTCGAACCCTTTATGATCCTTTATGACCCTTTATGATCCTTTATGATCCCTTTGATTCCMATTTGKGATCCCTTTTTTATTGTTGATCAATGTAAATCGATGTAAACAAGAAAAGGTTAAAGTAAAGTTTAAGATTGTTGATCAGAAAGGTGTTATTCGTCGATCAAACCGCTCGCCGAACGCAAACAACGTCACATTACTTTTATCTTAATTGACAACAATTATCATCGTTTTAGTGCAAGTTATGATTTTTTGACAAAATTTTCATGTGTTAAGTCGTGTAATAATATTATGTGGCTTTCGTGAATTTATACGATTCAAAATTATAAAAAAGATTATGAATATTATAGTTATTGTACTTAAGAAATGGCGAACTTCAAGAGAGGAAAAGACTCGAAAGAAAGACAACACCTTCACTTGAAGGTAAGCCGTGCAAAAGCTTGTCATATCAATCGCTTAAATGACTCCAGAAAACTCGAAGAAATACTGAGTAAAAAGGGAATGTTTTTCCCTACAAAAATAAAGGAAAAGCTTTGAGAAATAATAGTAAAATAAAAGAAATTTTTTTTTATTAAAATAAAGCGCTTAATTTTCTTCTTTAAAAAAAATTAAGCAATTATTTAAAAAAATATAAAATGGCTCTAATTTTCTTCTCCTTTAATATACTTCAGACTGGACAGTTCATTGTTTGAACAGGCCCCGGAACAACAACTATGTGTAGGTAAATATTTATTTTTATTCTGGATGTGAACTTTAATATACTACAAAGTAATTATATCTGGAGGAAGGATCAAAGATTTACCTTAATACACTCGCCCTTGTAGACAGCTTTAGACGATTTGAAGACCAGAAAACGTAGGGAAAGGTTTTGTTTTTCACTGGTTCTTATGAAGGGCGCTTTTCAATTAGTTAAGAAGAGGAATTGTTCCGTCTTTTCTTATACCAAAAAAATCATTATTTTGTCCCCATAACAAATCCTCTATGCAAGGGGGGACTTAAAGGGGCCTATAAAGAAGGAATTTTTAATCAGCTGCTTAAGTAATCAGATAATTAAGTTTTTATTTTTATATCCAAAAAAAAAAAAAAAAAAAAATCGTTAAATCACAACGAAATTCTACCTTTTTTTATCATATTTACAACTTTCTTAGTTTTTGATACCATTGATTAACGTTACAGTAAAACCCTTGGAATAAAAATAAAATAGTTAGATGTAAGGTTCTGTCGTTCCTGGTGACTTCTTGACGACATAACCTTGCAAGGATTTTCCTTCATCGTTTGACCCTGATTGGAACAAAAATAATATGAATTAGTTTCTACGCAAAAAACCTCTTTACCTTGGGTTAAATGTTTCCCCATTTCAGACACGTGTCATTCCCTAGAGTATCATTTCACAAATTGCAGCTTTTTCAACTCCACCCTCTAAAAATCGACTTCTCCCCGAATCCCATAACCGTCCTTTAACTAAGTGACCCTGATTTGCAAAATATACATGTAAGTGTTGGTGGTCGTTCTTACCAAGCAAACTTTTTCCTTGCTTTCTTTTGTCCAGGCTTCTTTCGCTCGACGATTCTTGGATCTCTGATGAGTAGTCCAGCTAGAAGAGGCCAGAAATATATATATTATTAAAATTAAAAATAATAATATAGCTTATTGCTGATCTTTAAGAGAGAGTACTGAAAAATGATGAAAGGTGAAAAATTTATTCTTATTTTATTATTGAAAAAATGAGATTTGACAAAATGGGAATGGAAAAGAAAATTGTCAAATTGGGAATGGATAATTGCTTACTCTAACAAGTAAAAATGAACAGTGCTTAAAACTGAGCCACTGGGCGACAGATGAAATGCAAGGAGATTTGAATGTAGATAATCAAAGTATTATGAGGGATGAAAGAAGAGGTATTTTACCATCAAGTAGTGGTTGCTGAAATCCTACAGAGAAGTTTAAGAGAGCGCGACTAATGGCCAATCGAATAGCACCAGCTTGACCTGGAAGAAAATAATTTTAAAATGTGTGTGCGAGAGATATTTAATACAAAATGAAAGTTTGCCATTCACCTTTTGCAGGGTATTAAGGAAGATTAAAGAGTTTGTCACGTTCCCAATTTTCGTCCCCAATGCCCTTCAATAGACCTCCTCGGCTCTGGAGCACTCGAGCGTAATGTTGTCCCACTTCAGACCACGTGTCATTCATTTTAGAATAATATTTTTGTTTGAGTAGTATCCATATTCATGTGTCTTCTCATGTGCAACCGAGCTCAAACCTTAAACAAAGAAATGATACTCTAGGGAATGACACGTGGTCTGAAATGGGAAAACATTACGTCAGAGCCGAGGAGGTCTATTCGTACTGCACATGTTTAAGAAAATGCTATGACTGCACAGTGGATGGCAATAAGCCTGAAGCGAGATGACGTTTTACCCCCGTCTCTAGACCATAATCCTTTTCACATTGCTTTTGTTCTTTAATTATGACTATTGTTACTGTATTCTCTAAGGAATCAAAAATTTTAATGTGAAAGAATTTTAAAAACTATTATGGTATAGAGACGGGGGTAAAACGTCACCTCGCTTCAGACTTATTCTCTGGTACAAAGTGGCTGGTCACTGCTGACGTCATGAGTTTGACTAACCTGCAGGGCCTCCACCAATCACATTGCACTCGGCATCATAATGACCAACACCATCAACCACTTGGAATGGAAACAGAATTTGCTTCCTAGTAAAAAAAACACAAGTATTTTAGTGCTTTTAATCCTTAAAGGGAGTGCAAACAATATAACCATGAAACTTTAGTAATACTAAATAGCACAATTTCATGCAAATTCCATTGTTTTCTATTGTTTAACTAGCACTATTTTGTACTATTTAGTAATTAGTGTTTCACGGATTAATTGTTTGCACCCTAGTGAAATGACCACGATAGTACAAGTGCTCTTATATGTAAATTATTGTGAAAAGCTCAGAAATACAGTATGTGTGAAGTAACTCGACTTTAACTCTTATCATGTGAGGTAACTGCCATATGAATCTAGTGTGACCCATGGCTTTCAAAATGTTTCAGTCAGGAGCAGGTGGTCATAAGTCTAAAGTAGCTGACTGTAATCCAGTATGAGGAACAGAAGGTATTTTATCAGAAAGAAAATTAAGCTTGGCCTGGGGTTAACCTTGAAGCAATCCCCAGAGCTCTGACGCCCACTGGCTTTTGTCGCAGCAGGATTCTGGAAGCCCCGTGTCCCCGAATATTTCTCTTGCCTTAACTAAACACTGCAAGTTGTGTCTTACCTATCCTCCAGCCTTCCGAAGTACTGTACCACAGGAATCCCATTAATGGTTACTTCTCCAGAACCTTTTTTAACCCATACTTCTGCAATGGCTCTTTTGCGATGTCCTAAAAGAGGGGGAATCAATTCGTTTGAAGAAATTAGTTTGGATCGATAAAATGAGCAATGACTATGAATTATTTCTTACCTATTCCATGTGCTCGTCCATCTTCGTCAACCTTAGAAACATTTAGAAAGCATAAGATTAGAATTTACATGTATATTTATCAAACTCATGAATAATTCATGAGGAAAACACAACAGAAATCACGACCGTGAAGAGTTTTGTAAATCTGATACAAAACTGTGTTCATTTGCATAAACTTTAAGTTGGATTTTCTTGGCCAAATTCACTTTAATTTTGAAAATTTTAGTGAAACACAAAGGAACTAACCTAGACATTTGATAAGTCATATACAGTATGAGTGGCCGTGTTGTATCAGATATACAATCACTCGGCTACGCCTCATGGTTGTATATCTGATACAATACGGCCACTCATACTGTATATATTACTAGCCAGGAGTCTTTAAATCAGGAGCATAGGCAGGTGGCAAGGGGGACAGTGCCTTTTTAAGGAATTTGTTTTTGGTTTGGCGTCTTGGGGCTCAAACAAAATGGCGAATTTTCGAATTTGGGCCCCTCTTTGGAAAATCCTGGCTATGCTCCTGAAAATAATACCAAAAATACTGGTCTGTATTATCACAGTGCTTTTTCGAAATCATAGACATCTTGTCGATCTTACCTGTAGAGAAATTTGCTTCATGCCAGGCGTGAATACTGGGAAGATATACTTTTTGATGAAATCATAGACAAGATATGCATTGGGTTGTGAGGCTAGCTTCTTCAAACGGTACAGAACAACTTCATACTATTATAAAGAAAGGTAAAAGGAAAAAAAATCAATTTGGATCGATTGATGACACAAAAAATGAGTGGCCCTTAAGCAGACCTCTGGGGTACTCCTTAAAAATATTTTTGCAGGTAGCTTCTTCATACGGTAAAAAACAACTTTAAAGAAGAAAAACAATCAACTTGGATTGGCATTACAAAAAAATAATTGGTCCATAGGTAAACCCTGGGGTACTCCTTAAAGTTTATATTGTGGTTATATACAGTAGCTTCTTGTTGTGGATTAAATATGCTGAAATGCATTGTCCTAAGGTGAATCCTTGTGGCACTCCAAGTACATTTCTAAATGGGATGTAGAATTTAATTTGCATGGTCCCAAGGTGAATCCTTGTGGCACTCCAAGTACATTTCTAAATTAGATGTAGAACTTATTTTTCATAGTCCCAGGGTGAATCCTTGTGGCACTCCAAGTACATTTCTAAATTGGATGTAGAACCTATTTTACATGGTCCCAGGGTGAATCCTTGTGGCAACAGCGAGTACATTTCTAAATGGGATGTAGAACCTATTTTGTGTTGTAATTTTTACCTCTCTTTCATCTAGCGTTTCCTCAAGCATATTTTCTAGCTCAATCTTTTTTATCCATCTCATTGGTCTTTYGTTTTGTGTTTCTTCTTTCTCTTCACTTCAAAATCAGATAAAGGAATGCAAAAAATATTAAATGATTAAAACATTTCTATAGGTTTGAATGTAAGAAGATAGTGCTAATAATAGGACAAACCTTTCTGAACATTAAACTTACACATCTTCACTTCGATTGGCAGCTTCGTTTTCTCTGTCACTCAAGGTGTTCTTGACTTCAAGTCTGGCATTCTCAAGCTTTTCAAACTGCTTATAGATATCCTTATAAAAGAAAGTCTTGATTTAGAAAACACCCAAAACTTGAGTTACTATTATGAATATTTGTACTATTTTATTTTTAATTTAATACAATAACTAATAATAATAATGGTGATGATGATGATAATATAACACTTTATTTACTGAGGATGTAACTGCTCAGCTTTTTTAAAACCTGGTCCTCCTAATGAATAATATAATAATTTCTAATACTACAATTGTCTTACATATATTAAGTCGTGGTAGCCTATTCTTCCAGTATAGAATGCTGCTGATGAGGGACGACCAGTTGCATCAAACAACTGACCTGAAATTATAAATTAATAATGAATGGATAAATGGAAAGATGGATGTGCAAATTGATTTATAGATGCTACAGATCTCACTACCACACCTTAAGTAATCTACTTACACACCTACTTTTGTTACATGTATTACAGTGAATACCTTACTGGCAATGTGCTAAATCCAAAACAGTGACAAAAGTAAGCGTGTCAGTAGACGAATTAGGGTGTGGTAGCTAGACAAACTTTTGGCGTGCTGACACAGTTCGGTGAGATGCGTAGTAAAATGGGTGGATGGGTGTGTGACTAGATAGATGGCCAGACAAACGAACGAACAAACAGACAAACGGACGGACAGACGGATGGATGGACGGACAGACAAACGGACGGACGGATGGATGGATGGATGGACAGACAAATGGATGACTTGACTTACCCCTTGACTTTTTGAATAACTCTGAAGGATGCTGAAAATTAAAAATAAATAAATAAAACTCAGGGTATCAGAATTTTTTCATCAACTGAAAAACCTGTCATAAATTTTCCACAAAGAAAAGAAAAGTAACTCAGTTCTGCTAGAAAATAATAAAAGCGAAGGGCAGAAGAAGGACAATGTTAGAAAGTCTACCAGACAATACTCACCATAAGCATTGGTCTTGCATCTTTGGCATAAAGACTGGACGGCATCAAGTAATCAATTGCTGCCTATGAATGAAACAGTAAGAGGATAGCATATAATGGTCAGCTTATCTGAGACAAAAATGTTAGCCAATCAAATTCAAGAAAATTTTCAAAACTGAGGTGTCACTTTCTTTCTTAAACTTAAAGATATCCAGGCCACGAAATAAAAATCAAAAAACGTCGCTAATAAGTGCTTGATAACAGTGACTCAATACACTGTATGATGATAATGGGCATGTTTTTATTTTTCAGTGGTCAATTTTTCCAGGCTTCATGACAGCTCAGTTTTGCAGTGACATCATTTCTATATCACTATTTCAGATCATCTGGAGTAAGATTGTGGTTTAAACACACTTTTAAATTTTTTTATTATTTATTATTTTGGCATGATACCTGGACGTCTTTGTCTGTAAAGTTTTCTACATTTTCACCCATTATGGCAGCGAGCCATCTACGGCATCTATCATATCTCTTTATCTGTTCTTGCATAAAGGGATCTGGAAGAATCAAAACTCTAGTAAGATTTGGAATATTAGGCCCTTTCGGCGTTAGCATAATGTTTTCCCATTTCATGCCATGTGTCATTCTATTGATTATCATTTCTTTGTATGACTTCAATATAAATCTGTTATCATTAATTTTCATCTTTAAATTCATATGCCTTGTATCCATATTCATGTTTCTTCTCAACGGTTAAAAAAAGAAATGATAGTCTATGTAATGACACATGGTCTATAATGGGAGAATAAAGGTGCTGACACACGGTGCAACATTGCAAGCAACAAATTTGAATCGGGGTGAGACACATTGCAACAAAATCATGCAACATCGCTTGTGTCAGCCTGCTATGTTAAGATATTTGRTCAGCAGTTATAAATTTGGTGCAAGCTGATTGGCTGTAAATTTCAAAATATTGCAGGTAATGTTGCGGCCATGTTCACATGATGACATTTGTTGCACGCAATGTTGCAAGAGTAGAGCGCGATTCAACTTCATGTTTGTTGCATGCAACATTGCGTGCAACAAGTTTGGGGTAGACACACGATGCAACAGTCCGGCTGCATGCAATGTTGCATGCAATGTTGCACTGTGCGTCAGCACATTATAACATCCAAGCTAAAGAAAGGGCCTTCCAATTGATTCATGTATGGCCAATAAATTAGATTATTCAAGAAAGCCTTCTCATATAATACAGAATCGTCAGTTGAAATTGAATTGTCTAGTGCTAAAATTTTGTCTTAAAGTCACAGTCACATGAGAGTGATTTTCATTTGCCCGTAACACAAATTCCATTGTTTTCTGTTGTTTTATGTTGACTGTCAGTCAATAAAATACAGTAATACAATTGCTTCACAGGCAGAATATAAATCACACTAGCTGCTTGTAATTATATACTCAAGCTTCTGTAAATTTCAAGGTTCATATTAGTTTGGCCTGCCTTTGAGGTACAGTATTGCTGAACAAACTTTGTCCTCGGCTAAACAAATCATTCACACTTGGCTTTGGCAATTTGGTTGCCTCTGTCAGATCTTAAGAATCAAAGATGTTTTTTCCTTTAGTGTGACCCACCCCCATTCATTGTATCTCAACAAAAAATATCAAAGGCCACAACAAACTTTTATGGTAAGAAAATTTGTTTAATGCCATTGTTTTTGAGATACACTGAAACATATTACTCAATTTAAAAGAAAGATAAAAAGAGGGCGAGGAATCTCAGAGCCGATGGTTCACAGCCTCACCATCATCGTCTTCATTCTCGGTTATGGACACTCCTCCACCTGTTGACGACACCCTGCTTCCTGGGTCTTCTACTACCTATATATATCAAGGGAATATTGTTTAATAACTAAACAAAACTTGTTAGACAGACAGACAGAAAGAAAGAAAGACAGACACAGATTTTATTTAGAGTATTGCACTGTTTGGTCAGTGRCGGATCCAGGATTTTTCAAAGGGGGGTTCCATTTCTTAAACCGTGTATAATTCTCTTTTGTTTAGTCAATGTTTGACAAAAAAATTGGCTCTAATCACCTAATTTACTATCTAGTAACGGAACTTAAAGGTAAATTAAACATTATAACAGCAAATATCTATCATTTCGTGTTCAACATTATCCTCRTGGATACTTTTAAGCAAAATTTATGTAAGACATATTTCTATTACCTAAAAGATCAAACCTTCAAGGGGGGTTCCGTGGACCCCTTTGACCCCCCCTGGATCCACCACTGTTGGTACATAAACTTTGTTCCAAATAAATATGAATGTATATAAATGCATAAATAAGTATGCGTTATACGTCAACCCTCAAACCCCCCTCCCCTCCCCCCACTCTCTCTCTCTCCCTCTCCCCATCTTCATCATATAAGTGTAGACTTGCTTGTTGCATGGTTCTCTCCAGTGTTTTTCGGTTTTTCGCCCGGTTCTCTAGTTTTCCTCCCTCCACAACGATCACCTTCTAAATGTATTCGCTGGTTTGTTAACCACTGGCTATTTAACCGTATAATATACTACCCTAGTAAAGTAAAATGGACTACAGTATTCGTTATATAAATATTTTCATGTTTATCTTACCGTATTGCTAGGGATTGCCGATATAATACTCGTGGTACTAAACTTTACAGAGTTTATTCTCATGGCTGCAAAAGAAGCCTGCGAAATAAGAGTAAATTATAATGAAAAAAAACCTGAACTGGCTGGAGTCTGCCATCTTGAAAACACGTGCAACACAAATGTTCTCTAAATTTCATTTCAATACTCACAAAATCACTAGTAGTTACAGCACTCAAGGGTTTTGTCAATGTATTTTTGCCTAATAATAACGTTCTTGTGCTGGTAATGGTTCTTGATCTCGCTATACGTGAGCATAATGACAAACTGTATCTTGCTCTGGACGCCGCCATTTTGAATTGGTGAGCACAGGAACCCCGGTGTCGTATTCGTGTCAACCACAGGGATCCCGTTAGATCAGAACCTGACATCAGCCCAAAGGATGTTTCAGGGTTCGATCTGTGAGTTAGATGTGCAGAGACTTAGATCAGCCCAGAGGTTGTTTCAGGACTCCATCTGTGAGTTAGCCATGCCCTGA